AAAGAAGTCAAGGACTTGTTGGCGGTCGGGCACATACGGGAGGTACAATACCCGGCCTGGCTGGCTAACGTCGTCTTGGCTCCAAAAGGCGACACCTGGCGCATGTGCGTGGATTACACGGATCTGAACAAGGCATGCCCCATGGATTCATACCCGCTGCCCAGTCCCGATCAGATGGTCGATGAGACGGCCGGGTGTGAATTGCTCAGCTTCATGGACGCTTTCAAAGGCTACCATCAGATTTTCATGGCTGAGGAGGACGAGGAGAAGACTTCCTTCTTGACTCCAGAAGGCACTTATTGCTACCGGGTGATGGCCTTTGGACTAAAGAATTCGGGCGCCACTTACCAAAGGATGGTGAACCGGCTTTTTAAGCCACTCCTCGGTAAATCCATGGAAGCTTACGTGGACGATATGCTGATCAAAAGCCCGGGCGCGACAAATCACCCGGCTGACATGAGGCTTTGCTTCGAGATTATGGCTAAGTACAGCTTGCGTCTCAATCCCAAGAAATGCGTCTTTGCTGTAAAGACCGGCAAGTTTCTAGGGTTTATGGTGACCAAGCGTGGTATTGAGCCTAATCCGGAGAAGATTAAGGCCATAACTGAAATGAGGTCGCCCAGTTCGCTGAAGGACGTACAACGACTTACCGGGCGGCTAGCAGCCTTGAGCCGTTTTCTCTCCCGGTCTGCTGAAAGGGCTCTGCCTTTCTTCAAGGTGTTAAAGAAGGCCAACACATTCGAGTGGGACCGGGAGTGTGAGGAAGCTTTCCAGCAGCTAAAGGAGTACTTAGTCTCTGATATTGTTTTGTCAAAACCCAAACCGGGTGAGACTTTGTATTTGTACCTAGGCATTTCCCAAAACGCTATAAGCTCTGTTTTGATAAGAAATGAAGACGGCCAGAGGCCTATTTACTATGTGAGCAAAGCATTAAATGGGGCTGAAAGCCGGTACACTGCCATTGAGAAAACGGCATACGCGCTTTTCATCACGGCCAAAAAACTGACCGCATACTTCCAAGCTCACACCGTGGAAGTACTGACCGATCAGCCACTTGGATCGGTCCTTCGAAATTCGACCTCCTCGGGAAGGTTGATCAAGTGGGCGATGATGCTCACCCAGTTCAAAATAGAATATAAACCAAGGACTGCAATTAAGGGTTAAGCTTTGGCAGACTTCCTCGTTGAACTGACCGGTCTAGAGCCCGAAGCCGGACCCTCCCATACGGTCGAACCGTGGTGGGACATGGCCGTTGATGGAGCCTCTGGACTGAAGGGATGCGGGGCCGGCGTAGTCTTCACTACCCCGGAAGGATTCAAGATCTACCATGCCTTGATCTTCAACTTCAGACTCACCAACAATGAGGCGGAGTATGAGGCGTTGGCCGGTGGCCTCAGATTAGCCCAGACACTCGGAATAAAAAGGATGAAGATCCGTTCCGATTCGAGTCTAGTGGTTGGACAGGTCAATGGTGAGATGGAAATAAAAGAGGATCGGCTGGCCCGGTATAGTGATCTGGTCTGAGCGCTTCTAAGGGAATTAGAAGAGTTTCGTCTGACTAGGATACCCCGGTCGGAAAACGCTGATGCAGATATGCTTTCAAAATTGACACAAGCTTGCCCGGAGCATGTGTCGAAGTTGGCGAAAATTGAGATCATGGACGTGCCGAGTACAGACCGGTTTGAAATCGCGGCTATCCAACCGGGCCAGAATTCGGCTACCGGGACAATCGGAGCAGATGATGACTGGAGGCACGATCTCATGGAATATTTAGAGACCGGTCAGAAACCGGATGACGAGGAACGGGCCAGGAAGGTGGTCCTGCGGGCTCCTCGTTTTCAGGTAATCGATGGTCACTTGTACAAACGTGCCATCGGTGGACCTCTCTTACGTTGCCTTACCAACCGAGAGGCTGAACGGGTAATAGCTGAGGTGCATGAGGGAGTTTGTGCGGCCCATCAAATGTCTCGCACCCTGGCTCAGAGGATAATATTGCTTGGCTACTACTGGCCGACCATTGTGGGGGATTGTGAGCGGTATGTCCAGAGATGTAGGACGTGCCAGGTATTTTACAAACATCCCGGCAGACCGGCCACATACTACCAACCAACGTCTAATGTCATACCATTTGCCCGGTTTGGGATTGACATTATTGGAGCCTTCCCGGTCGCCCAAGGCGGGAAGAAGTTCGTGATGGTGGCTATTGATTACTTCACTAAATGGGTCGAGGCCGAGGCAATGGCTACCATAACCGTGCGGCAGTGTGAGAAATTTGTTTGGAAAAACATTATCACCCGGTTTGGTGCCCCGAAGATGATTGTTACCGACAATGGTCCGCAGTTTCGTAACCCCCGGTTCACTGAGTACTTGGCTAGTTTTGGAATCAAGCACAGCAAGGCCTCAGTAGCTTATCCACAGGGAAATGGCCAAGTTGAAAATGCTAACCGGACGATAGTGGACGGCCTAAAGAAGAGGTTGGG